GTGTTGAAACACCCTCCAAAGGCGCGCCCCTTTGCCAGTCAAAATTGGATTCCTTAGCAACTAAATTAAGGTATGACACCGATAATGACCATGCATCAGAACCCTAGTATTAACCACTTCAAACTAGGCAACAACGAATAGAAGATTAGGAATCACATATATGAAGACAACTAAATCATTTTTTGCCTTGTTTCAAGATCATCCTCGGTAGACAAAGCCGAGTCTTGTCACTATCAACAAGGCATAACAGATGTGTTCCTTGGATTACTGAAAAATCCTGTTCCCCTAGTTCGAAGTAGTCAGGACTAGGAATCGGTGTTAGATCTTACATCCCGTAACGTACCACGAACAGGTTATCTACCCACGTTGCGGGGCTAGGGTAGGGTATGCTAAACTTCTACAAAGGTTGCTGATATTCTTCAAGTTTAGCCGAATTTTGAAGATAATCTCAGCATTTCCATGGACTTTTACGCAGATCCTGGAATTTCTACGTAATTCTACGAAGTTCTCATAATTCTTATGAAGTTCTGCATTTCTTAAAATAAGTTCTTCAAAATTTACAGAATTTTCAAGGATTCTCCGAATTATATTTTAAGTCCATTAAACAATTCAGAATACTGACAATGCTAATTGATCTCTTATGTAGTTCCATAAAAATAAACCAAATTTGCTTCGATTCGAAAAAGTTTCCCAAACATTTATAAGGTTCTCAGTAGTATGAAGTTTTCCCCGCATTTCTAAGAAGAGCCCCCATTTTTGTGATTTGCGCTGAATATATTCTCAACGAAATTCTTCAAATTTAACATAAATTTGCTGAATTACGAAGATGCCCTCTGAACATCTCTAATGAGATTAAAGAAAAATCACTAAGCTTCAGTGAACCGAACACAAGGACTGTATCGTTATTTATTAATACACCTCCGCGACTCTGTGCTAAAGAACGTACCGTAGTTCATTGATTTTCTACGATATTCACTAAATTTTTCCACAACATTTGATTAAGTCCTACAAATTTTACTAAACTTCTACATCCCTTACTAAGTTCTACAAAATTATCTGAAGTTTCATGTTCAACTGAATTTCACTAATGTTCTATAAAGTTTAATGAACTGCTACAAAGTTTATTGGGCTTTTTATAAACTTTGCTGAAATTTTCTTGGATTGGTGCACTTCTAGAATGTTTTCAGAACTTCAAAGCAATTCAATGAATGTCTACGTTTTTGTGTTTTCAAAAGATCTGCGATACTTCTTGAAGTTCTATGATGTTTATGAATTGGGATCCTCATAGAAGTTTGGGAAACCTCGTTGTAGCTAAGTGATTTTTGATAAAATTGCAAAACTTCATAAACAGTAATTAATGAACTTAATGAACTTGAAATAAATCAGAAAATTCCGTTAAAACTCAGGAAACTTTGAAGAACTTACAAAAGATTCGCAGAAAATCAACGAAATTCTAAAAAGATCAGAACATTTTGCAGAAGTGCAGTGAAGTTAATCGGAATTCTAAAAACTTTGTCAGAAGAATTACATACTTATACTTCGAAAATCTTCGAAAAACTTCATAGGGCTGAGATTTTTTTTATAAGTTTAAGAAACGTCTTAGAAATTTGTCCAAATTTAGAAGTTTTGGGAATTTTGTATAGCTCAGGAAGTATTTAAGACGTTCCGAATACTTTTGAAAATTTTGGGGTTTTACTTTAGAACTTATTGGAAGATTTGAGATCATTTTTTCGAAATTCATAGCAAAGGCTCCGGGTCATTTCTGAACTTTGGAGAAAGACATAGCCCAGTCGGCGCCGCCGGGATGTTCTGAGGCATAACATCTCTGATCACGCCTTCCTTCGGATGGGAAGTAAAGCCGTTGGTCCCCGGTTCATGAGTTGATGGGTCGATAGGTAGGGTCCAGGTGTGGGAGCTGCTTTCCTGGCACGTCGGTAGCATTGGTGCTACCGGAAAACAAGATCGACGGAAAAAACAAACAAAAAAAAAAAAGAGAAAGACATAGATGTTCTAAAATTTTGGATGAATTGTATGAACATGTAAAAGTAATAATGAAGAAGCTTGGAAGAAGTTGATGGACCTTCATACAAGTTGAGAAAATTTTCAAGAAGTACAGATGATGAAATGTTGTCAGTGTTGTAATTTTCTAAACCTTCGGTATTTTTTGGTGGCAAATGCCAGCTTTTCCGCTTGTTGAGTAAGGTGCTGTATACGCTAGTATTTGGCCGCTTCAATCTAAAATGCAAACATAAATTTGTCCCAAAATTTTCCTAGCCTAAACCGCACATCGGAGAAAAGGATCCCAATCCTCTTTCTTGCCGATCCGCGTGGACTGCTGCCACCCGACAAGTAGCCTTAGCAAGTGCTCTGCGCTGCAACTCACGACACGGCGGCGGGTCCAAGCAAAAGGATATGCCTAGCGCTCTGGACACAACTCTCGTCCAGCTCCACCTCTCTCGCCGCACGAGTCCCTCTGCTGGCCAGCAGCAATTCTTCGTTTGTGTATATTCAAATTTATTTGTATAAGTAAAGGAGCCAAAAGAAAAATAAGGCATACATAAGAGGATGGCCAGCCAGTCTTTTCCGCTCATATGTGTGCGCCGCACCGAGGATGCTACTCTGTGCATGCAGAAGAAAGCAAGATATGTGTAGAGTGCCCACTCTCCACCCGCATGGCACCGAACCTTTAGCATAGCCGTCGTCGTTGACGTCCGTTGCGAGGACCCAACTCTCTGATGCTAGTCCTGGTCCGAAGAAGAAAAGATGCCTTATATGTCCCGCATCCCCCGCAGCACCTCCTCCACATGGCATGGCAACGACGACGACGACGCCGACGACGATGATGATGATTCGGCGGTAGAGAGTCCATCCGGCCGCAGCAACTTGTCCGTTGCTACTAGCGCACAGGCCGTTATGTGTGCTATGCTAATATCTCGGACTCGGACTCGGACTCGATCTCAAAACTCTCCCGTTTCTCGGCGTGTATGTTCTTATTTTTTGCCCTTCCTTTCTTCACCCTTTCCTTCGGTGCTTCTTGCGGGCCATCATTCACCGCGTGAGCGGGTGGACCCCGGTCAGTTGTCACTTAACCCCTTTTTGCCTGGGAGCCAAACCAACCGGAACGCAGCCAGGATGTATACTTTTACACACACGCATACACCTACATGGGCCCCCGTACGGCTGTCTCGAGAGTGGATCAGAGTTTGTCGTGTGGTTCGGTGGGGTTTTCCTGTTTTTTTTTTCGATTTCTTGAAGAGGAGCTGAGGGCTGCACGGGTAAGGTAAGGGGATTGAACCCCTTATCAAATTGGATCCAGATAGGATGCACCTCTTCCTTCGCCGTGGTGGTAGGCTAAGATTGGATCTTCTTATGGGGCGTTAGACTGATGTGTCTAGATTGGACTATCACTGTAGGTATAACGAGAAGAAATCATTCGTTTTCTTGATGATCTTCCTTTGGCATTCAAGGGTTACTATTTGGGCAATTCCAATGTTGTTGAAAACAACCTGTGTTTGGAAATTGCTATTTTCTTTAAAATCAAAGAGAACATTGTGCAAAATATAATTTTGTTGTAAAACCTATTTTCGAATGATACTAAAAAATCCAAACGTGCCATTCTGGTCCTAAGATATATGGTTTTACCAGCATCTCCGTAATATTACCCATTGCAGAGGATAAGCATAAATGACCGTACAATTCGTAGTTGCTACTTCGTGCTTGACCAAACCAAGCTTACGTTCATTGAGGAAGAGATGGATTATTAGTTCAACATTTTTGGGGATGGACATTTTTGCTAGTGGGAAGAGTGAATCAGCTCTGAATTCACTATGGAAAGTGATGCGATCTTTACAAGCATGGTGAGCAAATAATGCGAGGATGCGACCTTATCAACTCAGTAATATAAAGAAGCTTGGGAATAAGTCTTCGAGATATTCTCTCTATCTCTCTACTAGAGAGTCGCTAGGAATAATTCTAAAGGAATTCAGAAGTCAATCCCAAATAAATGTGAAAAAAAAGTTGCAAGTAATTTTAAGAAGCATTTCAGGAAAACTGTAGGGAAAACTATGGGTGAATTCCAATGTAGTTCAGAAGAGACTATTAAAAAGGTTATGAGTAGTCCAAAGAATTCTGAAGCAACTCTGAAGGATTTTTAAGTAGCATTATAAAGATATTCGGGAGGAGAATTCAAAATGAATTAACCCTGCTACAAACTTAACTATTGTTACAGGTGGGTAACATAGTATTATTTTTAATATTGATGTGGGGGAGTAGGGCCAATAAATTGTAGTGAAATAACGGCCGATTCAAAGTGAGGGGCGATCGGTCTCGAAATGTGTGGATCTTGTTTAAGAGTTGTATTAGTAGCTAGGAGATAGGAGTGAAGGCTGCCTACGATCGGGGGCGGATGGAGAGAAACCCAACACCACGGTCGATGAGAAGCGGGAAGAGAGAGCCCGACGGTCAGTGGATTTAGTCAGTAAGTTGTGAGCCCTTGTAGAAGCGACAAGGAAAGTTTGTTGCGTGTGGTGTGAAATTTTAGTCACCCTCGCCATTGGTCCAAGCCACGCGGTGTGAGAAAGTTTTGTTTTATGGACCGCTAGGAGACCTGACCATCACCCGTTCCCCGGCCAAGTCATCCGGTCATCACGGGGTCCTGAGTATCGGACCGCTTGTTATTTAGTCCGACGACTTTCGACGCCGTACTGCCGCTCCAGGTTTAATCGGTACCCGGCTTCACGGTCAACCCACCATTAGTCGACCCTGGCTTATTCTATCGTTGGCCGAATCAACCTGGCACCGGTCAATTTACCCGGTCATCTACGAATCTGCCCGGTCAGTCCGCCAGCTTGCCAGTCGATCATCAGTCGGACATCAATCGCCACCGCATTGCGGACAGTCAGTCCTTCGTAGTAGGCCCGCCATTGTTCGTCGTCGGACCCTGCTATTGCAGGTTCACTACCCGGCAAAGCTCAGATCACCCCGGCCATTCAAGTCCTCACGTTGCCCACCCGGCAGCCGATCAGCACCCGATATACCTCCCGGGCTACCTTCGTCGCCGTTTAGAGCCAGGATTATCGGCAAACTCACACGGGCGTCTACCATCGCCGTATCCCGGCCAGGGTCGGCCGGACCACCTGCTATCATCACCGCTTCCCGGCCAGTTTCGACCGAACCCCCGAGATCACCTTTCGATACCATATGGTATCATGATATCACCGGCTACCATCGTCGTTTCCCGACCAGGGTCTGCCGAACCACCAGCCGATCACCGTTCGATACTGCCCCACCCCCACTATCATTGCCGGCCAATAAAGTAAAGGGTAACAAAAAAAAAACCATAATTTCAGGTTTCCTCACATCCGAAAACTCTCCCACGCCAGTACGCCCTGAGACCCTGAACCTACAAGGGACTTGAGTGCCCACCCCGGGAGCTGCCGTTGGTTAAGACCAGTAGCTTGGGGCTTTGGGGAGTTCCCTTCAAGGACTCAGTGGTTCCGGGGCTGAAAGAAGTCTTATACTATGATATGGAAACAATTCTGACACTAATTAATAAAGAAGAATTCTAAGGAGAATTCCCAGGCGATATTTATGATAAATTCAAGAGAATCTAATGCTAAATATAACTGCAAAACACCGTTGCCTTTTTTTAAACTGAAAATAGTTCTAAGAAAATTTCAACGAGAATTTTTGATGATTTTGAAAAAAAATAAAGAGTTTTCTGAAATGGTTTCAAAAATAGATTTAACAGTGAATTTAAAGTACTATTTCCTAAAAATGCTAAGTAGCGTTCCTGAAGATTCTAACTACGAACAATATTTGGATATTGCAAAAGTTGACAAAGAATTACGTGTTCAAGGCAACGAAACTAATAAAGATTCTCACTTTTATCGTTTGGAAACATTATATTTAAAAACTTATCAAAACTCTAAGACATTGCTACTTTTTCAGAAATAACACATTTTGGTATCCCGAACTCAGGAAAAGTTAAGAGTTTCGAGGATGATTAATTATTCAAAATTCTTAGTGAAATATTCGAGATAACGGACTTCGAATATTCTTAAAGAATTCAAAACTAAAGTACATAAGTACATGTAAAAACTGTATTGGGAGTCCGCTTTGAGAATCGTTCGAAAACGGCTGTGCTTTTAGTTCGGGCTGTCTTTGTGCTTGCGTGTAGTTTTTCGGTGCTCGCATGTGCTGATGTTTCCTCCCCTGTTGCTTAGATGCTTGGTGTGCTCTCGCTTCCCTTTATTGCCGGTTTGACTCAACCGCACTGATCTATTGTTAGGTTTTTGCTATGTGCATTGGTTTTGTGCACAGAATGATTTGAAAAAGCAAAGTGATATCTTGTTATTGTGTGGAAGCATCGGGAATGCGCTCCTGGATATTTTGATTTGGTGAGTACGTTTCAGTTGAAGATTGTTCTTATACATTTCTCGATTGCATTTCGAGGAGACGTGTCTGCCTTTGTGGGCAGTGTGTTTGATGGTTGGTTTGGAGTGGCTCGCCTGCACGTGCTGGCGCCACTATCAGGTAGGGGAAAATTTTCCTATCTGATGGTGATGTTGGTATGCATCCCTTCGGGGGAGTAATCGAGATGTATTTTCATCGTTTCCCATTTACCAGAGGGATGATCTCGATTGCAGGAAGCATATTGGGTTTAAAAAGGACGTTTATTTCATGAAAACAGTGATAAAATGATCACTTTTGTACATTGGAAAATTATTGACATTACCACTTTTTCAATAGCTTGTTGTTAAAAATCATCAGTCGGAAGCAATGCTATTGATGCGTAGAAATATTTCTGATCGATTGGTGATAAAATTATTGAAATTGGTCCACGGGCAGCTGAGTTATTAATTTTCAAAATCTTTCATAATTTTGTTACATGTTCCATTTTCGGTTTTCACAAAGTGTACCCATGTACAGAAACCACAGACGTATACCCCTATTCTGTATTTCGTTTCGAACGAAATTCTCATATTTATGTATGAGAATTTCGTTCGAAACGAAATACAGAATAGGGGTGGTAGTCTTACGTCAAAAATCAGAAGAAAATTTTGGGAAAGGAAATCTAATTGTCAAAAAAGTTGTAAAGGAATTTTAGGAAGGATTCCGGCAAACATACTTTTGCATATAGAAACTTCTATAGTAATCTTCTTCCTCTGGATTCCTCTTTTAGAATCATTAGAAGCTTCTTTTAGAAGCTTATTCTAGAAGTTTATTCTAGACTATTGCCCGTCGTTCCGCTTCTCTGACTAAAAAATAACACGCAGTTGGAAATGCGATCAATGTCGTGAGGAGGATTCGATGATCCAGTCTCGATTTTCGATCGGTCGTTTAACTTCAAACAAGCGCTGATCAAGCGTAGATCTCAATCTATGGATGATGGAGGAGCAGAAGGCCATGCGGATGCGAAGAATTCTAGAAGAAGAAGCAGCTCAAGCGGTTATAAGAACGAAATTTTCTGATGAAGAAGTATGAACTTTTCCTGGCGTAAGCGGAGGATCCAGAGGATGGAGCCAGTAGGAAAGCGAGACTGAGCAGTCGGGCTAGTCGAGAGAAGGTTTGGTCGTGGCTTAGCGAACAGAAAGTCGCCTCAGCACATCGAGCGAAAGTAGTGCCATCCAACTACCGTAGCTACCGTATGCGAGATAATGTTTGCATCATTGAGCAATGCCAAAATTAAAAAAAATTCTCCAAAATTTCGTTTTCGAGTTTTTTTCTATTTATTCAAAAGAGGGATGTTTCTCAGAGTCTTAAACTGTTAATCATTGATCGAGTTTCCACTTGCTACAATTACGGCCTCCACACGCTTCCGGAATGCACGACAGGTTCTAATAATGTAGTCTGAATCCATTTCTCTCCAGGTACGGGTCAATGTTTGTCTGAGGCTTGCTGTACTTGGGTGGAGTTTAGAACAGGTCTTGGGTCTCAGGTCTTAACGCGCCATATTAAGTAATCCAGCGGATTAAGATTCGGGCTGGATGGCGGCCACATATCCTTCGCCCAGAACGGAAGATGTTCCTGCAACCACTTCTAAGTGCGGTTCGAGGTGTGGCAAGGAGCCCCATCTTGTTGAAATACAACATTTGGCTTCGGACCGTACTGTTCTTTGATCCACGGAAGAACATACTTACTTAAAATTCCAGCTCCCATCGTCTCCAGCCCGATCGTATCAAACGTTCCTGCCAATATAACTTCGGGACCAGCGTTAACTTCCACTCCAAATTCAGTGGATCGTTCCGGAGGCATGGAGTGTTCCGCTGCAACGATAGTCCCTCAAGTGCCGATTCCGATAAGATCGAATGGCGCCTTCGTATCACACACCCAAATAACATTTGGCGTTCCCCGAAAACCTCTGGAAAGTTCTTCGTTGCCATCGGTATCAACTCTTTCGTCAAGATGGATGCAAATAGTGCTCCGCAAAAGATCAACAGTAGTGCTCCGCCTTCGATTGTCGACTTTTCTCCCATACCCAGTAGCAATTCCACATTCCCGACAACAGCATCAGCACTGAGTCAACCACGTACTACAAACATTCCAGCATACAACTACAACAGCATCGTCACCTCCCAGTACGTTGCTACTAATCCAACAACGTTGTTTCTTACCGCAGGTCAGGGCTGCTCTGTTGAAGAGTATTCAGTGACTTCCCAGAATCCCGTTTTATCAGTTATATTGGTACACTCTCGACCAATGTTAAGTTCCGGTTGTCAACCTACGTGGATAATTAATAATCTCATCCGTAAGGCCGTCGTTGGGATACAATAGTTCGAAATTCCGGCTACCCAACCGACGAGCCCCAGATCCTTCTGTGTTCCCTCGAATGACCAACGGTGACAAGCGCAACACCAACAACACTGGCCTCAACTGCAACAGCAACAGCAACAACCAGAGTTGCGACCTATCACAATCATCATCGTCAAACAGCTGGTGGTAGTAACGCTTGGTACATTCCTATCAATGTGCTTGTCGAAGCACCAGGGCTCTACATTTTCGAAGCTCTAAAATGAGCTCGTGTTTTTTTTTTTCTCATACATACGTGTTCGACGCTTCATTTCTATAACGCCTAGCTAGACTATCAGCAAGAAGTGATAGTGAAAAAGAAGCACGCTTAGAAGGAAACGCTGGCTGTGGATCTTCTCGTCGTTGCTTTGCTCATCGCTTTCAATGTAAATAACGTCGATTTTCTAGTTAAACGAACCTCATTATGGCTTTCAATCCCCTTTCACGAACACTCTATCACCGATCTTTCAATTTGTTTGAAATGCGTTATGTCCCGTTTTAGATCATTTTTTTTGATAAATATATGGATGGAAGATAAATTAAAAATATTACGTGTAATCTTCACGTGTTTTCACGTGAGAAATGCTTTAAATGTGTTATTTCATTTTCCGTCATATACGTCATGTAACCTCTGTTGATGTGTTTCATGAAAGAGAAAACTATCAAAGTCGAGCGCTCTTTCGCTCATCCGTTTCACCGAAGCTTGAAAGGAAGACCAATGGAGCAACGGGAGAAAGAGAGACAAACAATTGAACATTTGTTTGTGCACGCCGACTGAGGTTCTAGAATGCCGCGAAGCTGTTCGACTATAACAGAAAAAGAAAGCCAGCAGTCTCTTCGTCGCATCGATTTGGTCGATTGAAGCTGATATTGTGACGCCCTGCAGTCTCCATGACCATCCATCAAGTTGACGAATGAAGTAAGCAACCGGTGAAGTATTCATTCCCGATAATCACGACACTCATCTGTGCTCGTTTTGAAGCAGTTGCTGCTTTGCTTGCTTATGTGAGTGTGTTGGTGAGTGAGCCCAACAGCTTCCGTTTAATTTGCCAGATTTGTTTGTAACTCACACAGTCGCGCGTGCCGAGACGAACTTGGAATGCGTAGGCATTGTTTTCATTTTCTTGTGTCGTTTCGCTTTATCTCATCATTGTACTGCAGAAGTCTTCAATGTTTTCGTTGTGCTTCACATCATCAGCAACGAGTGTTACGTTTTGCCTGTGAGCACACTGGTGATTGTTGTTTGCCATGGCTCTACCTCTCACTGCGTGACAAAACGTTCTGTCAGCGATAGTCGGTTGATGCGTTAACGAGTGTCGAGTGAGTGTCATGATATTTTGCATCACTGACAACAACCACGATCTCAACCGCAGCAACAAAAACAACGACATCAACCGGAACAGCAACAG